GGGGGAGTGGGAAAGAGTTGGTTCAGTGCTTCAGTTAGGGATAAATTATTCTCCTTGGGGGCTGGTTGAGCTCAGGAGACAACAGCTCATGATGAAACTGGGTATGTTGACCTTCTTCATTCTTCCTTCCTGCTGTATAAGGTTAGTTAGTGAAATCTCAGGGAGAGGATCAAAGGTAACTGTTCTCTCTTTTGGTGAGTCCAATCTACAGGATAAAAATGGCATATGGGAGAAAAGTCGTTTCCTGTACTTTGCGAAAGAGGCCAGTTATACTGAATTAATGGCCTGCCCTATTCCAGTACGACTCAGAGACAGGAGTGAGTGTACTTTCCAAGGTTGGTCACCTTCAGTGTGCCTGAGTTCAGTCTCTTCAACTGCATCTCTGCCCCATGTGGGAATAAAGAGGCTCTGTAATTATGAAGTTTTACAAATTCCATAAGCTCACAAACTATGATTATTTTTGGATATTTTTAATAACACCTAAATATGTTTCCACTTACACATGTGCCAAACATTATGTTAAGCACTTTAATTCTAGTGACAATCCTACACGGTACTTTCATTTCTATTTTACATATAATGACACTGAAAGGAGAGAGATAACCTACAGTATCATAATGTGTTGAGATACTTAGGGTTTGTCTATGGATGCCCTTTTTAAAAATCTTTTTATAATCTCTTTTGGTGAGATTGATTGAATGATCCATGTTTCATACTATTACATTTAGTACATGTATAACTTTATATTCTATTTTCTTTTAATTCATGTCTCATAACATTATTCTTGAATTAAGTGAAACCATTCTCTCTTTCCACATTCTTATATGACCCAAAGTAGGAGTCTTTTCTTAGAAACAGGTGAAAATGACTTCTGATGTTTCTCAGTACCCTCCAATTATAACTTCCTAACTGAAGAGCAGGAGCTAATTCAGTTGGTGACCTTCAGAGAAGAAACCCAGCTCCTTCTAGGTTCTGCTTTTTCAGAATGGACTGTATTTATGACTAAATGTTCTCCTCAACATTGCATCCCAGCATCGGGATGTCCTTGGTTTGTAGTTTATCTTTAAGTAGGTAAGTTTAATTTATAAAAGGAGGTATTAGCAAGCTCATTTGGCCAAAGATTTGAAACTTGTTCTCTGGGACCAGCAGGTAGAATGATGGTTAAGATGCTGGACTTCCACAAGACTGACCGTGGTTTGAGGCTAAGATCCAACAATCTGAAAATCATGCTGAGTATGTGTGTGTGTGTGTGTGTGTGTGTGTGTGTGCTCCAAATCTCAGGAGAATGGAGGAGATGGAGTGTATCATGGCCATCTGACCTGGACAGTGATTTCTCACTTTTTCCTCTCACTGTCTCTTTCTGTCCCTCTCTGGTGAGTGCATGTGCTCTATGGCCAAAACCTAAAAATAAACCAAACAAAAAACTTATCTTCCAACTGTAATAATCAATAATAAATCTGATAGTTTTGTCTACATATGATTGATTCTTTTGTCTTATCTCATTGGGTTCAAACCATGACAGGAGAGGGACCAGCAGATAGTGTAATGGCTATGTCGCTGGACTTCCATGTAGTCACCCGCTTCGAGTCCCAGACTCAGTGGCTTAAACTCACGCCGGGCGTGTGTGTGTGCGTGCCCAAGATCCCAAGAGGAGAATGGAGGAAAAGGGATTGCAGTGTGGCCATCACCCCAGGGGATGATTTCTCGCTTTCTGTTTCTCTATCTCTCTCTGTCTTTCTGGCGTGCACACACACTCTGTAGAGGAAAAAAAAAACAAAAAACAAAAAAAATGCTCTCAAAAAAAAAAAAATGACAGGAGAAGAATGAATGGTCCTTTACTGGTTTCCTGTCTTTGTTTCCTAAGACTGATACAATAAAGTATAATGCCACAAACTTTGTGATTTAACAATACAGAAATTCACTGTCTCATTAATATAGAGGCTGAAAGTCCAAACTCAGAGTACTGGTGGGACCATGCTCCCTTTAAAGCCTCTAGAGTAAGAGCCTTCCTTGTCTCTTTCAGATTTTGGTGGCCCCAGGTGTTCCTTGATTTTAGTAGTACACTTCCTATCTTTGCTTTTGTGCTTATATGGCCATTTTTCTTATGTGCCTGTGTGCAGCTTTCCCTCTTCTAATAAGGATGCCAGTTTTGGGGTCATTGGGAAACTCACAACACTTTTTTACATAGAAAAAAATAGAAACTACATCAGGACTTTTCAGCTGACCCTCTATTAAAATGATGGCCCATCCTATTGCAGTATGACCTTGTCTTAACAATTATATCTTCCATGATCATAATTATATCTTCCATGATTCCATTCCCAACAAATGTCACATCCTGAGGTGGTTTTGGTTGGCACTTCAACAAATCATTTGAGGTGGGGGGACACCATTTGACCTCTAACTGTCTACCTCTAGTTGCCAAAGTCGTGTTCTTCCTTTGTAAAGGGCATTCAAAATATATTTACTTGATCACAACATCTGTAAAAGTTTTAATCCCTTCTAGCATCAACTTTGAAGTCCAAAATATATACTAAATATTATCAAATCAAAAAGCTCCAAATCTCATCATCTAAATCAGTTGTGCATGAGATTCATAACATGGTTCATCCTGGGATAAAATTCTATCTGTGAACTTGTCAAGCCAGGAGACAAGCTTTCTGCTTCCAAAATACAGTGGCGGTATAGGCATATATGATCTACCTTCTCATTCAAAAATGAAGAAAGAAGGGAACAAAAGGAGTCGTGGGCTCTAAGCAAGTCTCAAAACCAACAGAACAAATTTCATTACATTTCAAGGCTTGAGAATAATCATCTGTGGCTTTGTCTCTGGCCCTTTTGGGAAAGCATTCTGATTTTTGGTTCATTGGATGGTGGTTCTACCCTCTCAACCCAATGGGTGACCTTATTCTTTAGGTTATTGTCTTGGCCTGTATTGTATAAAAAATATAAATATTTGTGACATGAAATAGGTTTCTTTATCTCTTTTGCTTCTTGATTTTCTCTCTTTCTTTTGTAGCTAGTATATCACATCTATACTTTATGCTAGCTTTTATAGTTTATAGACTTATATACTGAATCTGTGATTTTTAAAAAGTTTAAAAAAATTTTTATTAATTTTTTATTCTCTACAGTGCATGTGCTCATTAGAGATGGTGACAAAGAGAGGGAAAGTGAGAAATCACCCCCAAGGGATGATCATGCCGCAAATCCCTTCTCCACTATTTTCCCTGAGATTTTAGACATGCATGGACACTTACCTGTTGTGATTTTCAAACTGCTGGGTCCGGGGTTCAAACTGTGGAGTTGGCTTTGTGAGACCCATGCCACCTACTGGCCCGATAGCCTCCAATGCAAAGTAGATGCCCACTCTTATTGTCTATGAAATGGATAGTTCACTCATTTGATAATATTTAAGTTTCATCCTTTCCTTATTGACTGGTAGTGCTATTTCTCACAAAGTAATATATTTTGACTTATACTTGGCTTGTTTCTCAACTCTTTATCCTGTTCTTTGATCATTTTCACTTTTAGCATGTAAATACTATACTTTAAAAAAAATTATTCTAACCTAGTAACAAGTTTTAATATAGGATAGCAAGTTCTCTGGCCCTCCCCAACCATTGTGTGACTTCTAGACTTAGCAATTTTCACATAATTATTCTCCTATCCATATGTATTTTAGAGTAATTTTATTGTATTACTTCTGACACTGTTGAAATTCTGAATAAAATTGTATCATAATTATATAGCAATATGCAGAAACATGCAATTTTATGATGCTGTGAATTTGTACTCAAGAACATAGTTTGTCAAAGTATTCAGTTATTTATAATATGCTTTATTACTTTTGCTGTTATTTTGATTAAGCTATTTATTTATTTTTTCCCTTTCAATATCTATGTGGTTATTTTTAGTGTAAATAAAATTTATTGCTTTATATAGGTTTTTATTTTAGCTAGTCACCTTACTAAAAAATTGCTTCATTTGCTGCAGAAGTTTTTCAATAAGCCTTTGGGAGTTTTCTAGATATCCTGACATTTTACCTTCAAATAATAATTTTTTTTTTGAGCCTTCTGGTGTTTCCAAAGTTTGAAGAAAAACTGACTTTTTAAAATGCCCAAAGCACAAATTCAGAGAAAATACAGTTTATTTTATATTTTTATGCCAAAGATGGCTAACAAATTTGGTTGTCTGTTTTATACATTACTCACTTCCAACATACATCATTGGATAGGGACCACTGAAGACCCTCTACCCAGACTTTACCTTCCTGCTCCTCAGATCTAGCCAAGAACCAGGTTAGAGCACCCTACTTATTCTGTCTTTCTCCATCTCTCTATTTTTAATTTGTAAAACATTTTAAAATTTCTTAGCTCACTGTCATTTTTTTATTCTTACCTTTCCCCCTGCACCCATAGGATAAGCCAATCAGCAGCCATCTGTATTTGAGTTCTGAGCAGCCCGTTCATGCATCAGGGAACTCATAGAAATGTCAGATAAAGAATTATAAATATTCATAGTGACAAAGCTAACAGAGAGGCAAGAGAAGAGAGACAATGAACTCCAGAAAGTTAGCAGAAGAGATGAGTTCCAGGAGGTGAGGAAGTTCCTGCAGGATCTGAAAGAGGAAATACACATTATAAAAAAGAATCAAATGGAATAGTTAAGAGATGAAGGCTGCAATACAGGAAATTAAAACCTCTCGAAAATATCCAAAGATTAGATCATGCAGGAGATCAAGTCTCATATGCTGAAGATAGAACATCTGACCTAGAAAAATTCACCAAGAAGACAGAAAATAACCCCCCAAAATGACAAAAACATACGAGTAATACTAGATACTGTTAAGCGCCCAAACATCTGGACCATTGGTATCCCAGAAAGTGAAGAAACTAATAAGGGCATTGATAATCTATTTTGTGAAATCTTGAAAGAAAACTTTCCAAACCTAGAGAGGCATTCAAATATCCGGACCCAAGGAATACAAAGGACTCTACATAGAATCAACCTAAGAAGATTTCCCTAAGGCACATCATAGCCAGATTGACAAAAACCGCAGACAGAGACAAGATACCAAAATTGGCAAGAGAGAAACATCAAGTTACTGTCAAAGGATATCCCACAGGCTAACATCAGAAACAATGCGAGCAAGGAAAGAATGGGAAAATATATTCAAAGTGTTAAGTGAAAAACAATTTCAATGAAGAACACTATATCTGGCAAGATTATCGTTCATATCAGAAGAAAGACCCCCAAAATTCTCAGATAAACAAAACATGAATGAATTTACCCACACCATACCAGCTCTTTGAGATGTGCTGAAGGGAGTGCTATGCCAGGAAAACGAAAGACAGACAGAAATAAAAGAACCAAAGATGACCAAGAAAAAGGCCAACTTAATGGCAGGGATACGTTCACAAATGTCAATAATAATGTTGAATATTAACTTTCAGGATTTAAATAGAAAGATCAGATCATAACACAGCAAATTGAATACAAGCGAGATTAATTATATGAGTTTGAACTAGTGAAATAGAATTTTTTGACTTTAGACTAAAACATTACTGATTTTCTTTGATGCTTTGATTTCCATATTAAAGGATTTTTGTCTTCTCTTGAACTATTGATAGGTTCATCTACCTAGTACTTGAACTGAATCCTGACCTTTTTCTTGATTTTAAGTTTTAAACAAATTTCTCTTAACATTTTTTAACTTGATCTATTAAAATTAAAACTGTTTTTCTTAAAATTAAAAAAATGCATTAAAAATACATATTAATACCCATTTAATGGCTGTAGTAAGCTATATAGCCCCAGTAAGGTGCTACTTTCTAGTATGTTCACCTTCCTCACCTATAGTCAGACATGTGTTCATAGATATGTATATATCAGCTGTGCTTGCTATTGAAAGTTCTTAATTAAGTTATTCAGTGAATCAATAATATGTGAAAAAAAAAAAGGCATGAAAACAACTGTAGATACCAGAGACAGTGTGAGAGGAGGGGGGAAAGTGGCAGAGGGTGAGAGGTAGGGAAGCAAGGGGGAAACAAAAAAAAGCAGAATATATAAGAAACAAGAAATAGAAAATTGCTGATGATAACATGTGTGGTTATCCTTGATTGAATTAATATACAATGTATTCTGAATGGAAAATCTCATTTTGTGTACTGTATTGATGTACAGTGAATGACTGTAAACAAATAAAGTAAAAAATACATCATTCACCATGGCTTTTTCATTTATTTACAAAATTTAGAGTAAGTTATTTTAAAAATTGATACTTACATTTGACCAAGAGTATTCAACTCCTTTTGATTCAAAAATTAAAGATTCAATGATTATTATAATTAAACCAATTATGGCCATGCAGATACTTAGGATGTTCATTACAATGGTGTAAACAAGCTGTAATAGACACACAAAGGAAAACCGATCACGCACAGCAGAAATAGATTTTGGTGAAGTAATCAGACTGCCATACTGGCTAGAATATTAAAGTTCAATTTTATCCCCTTTTGGCTGATTATCTGGAATCTTAAAATAGTTGCTATCAGGACTCTATTCAAATTTCTCTAGAGGCCAGCAGGATAAAATATTTTCTTCAGAAGAAGCATTTATTTATTCATTCAACATATAATTACAGTCTTATAATGTACTAAACATTATGCTAAAGATAAGATCAACCTTTATTTAAGAATCTAAAAGTCTAATGGGGGAGATAAAACTATAAACAGTTTATTTCATTTAATAAAATATAATGTCATACTATGAATAAGCTTCTTGTTTGGGATTTAATGTTATCCCTCTCTCAGTAAAGTCACTTTGCTACTTAAAAATTTTCAATGGGGCCAAAAGGTGTCATGGTGGTTAAGGTGCTGGATTCCCACATTGCCCACCATAGCACGGTAGTTAGAGTCCTGCACTTGGTGGCTTGAAAATCATGCCAGGTGCATGTACATGCATGTCTGTAATCCCAAGAGGAGAATGGAGGACAAGGGATTGTGGTATAGTCATCCCACTGAAGAGTGATTTCTCACTTTCTCTCTCTCTCTGTCTCTATCTGGCAAGCACATGCACTCTATGACCAACCCCTATGGGGTCAAAATAAAATGCCAGCTCTGTGGCAAAAAACAAACAAAAAACCCCCCAAAAACCCCAAAACCTCTCCCTCACTATATATAAAATATATATTTTTTGCTGTCTAGCATGGGGCATCTTCATTGGTTTAGTCTTCATAAAAATGTCTATTCAGTTTCTACCATGAAAGTCAAAGGAGGAAGACTTCATTTTTCCCAGTCACTTAAAGCCACGCCAGACCATGACCAATGAGATGTTCCTCTTAAGTACAGTGAATCTTGAACAAATGATTTAAAGATGAAGAAAATACTGGAATTCATTCCTGACAGAAGCAGCTGTGGTGTTATGCAGTGAGGCACTGGTGACCTTGGGTGCTAGAGGGTAGCTATGATGTAACACCCCAGAACTTCACCTTTTGTAGAAGCTAAAAGTCTAGCATCTTCCCAATAAACCATGTCTTTCCTAAGATAGCCAGCCAGATGTTATCTGGCCCAGTTTCATTTTTCAGATGCAGTTCACAATGGTGGAAAAAAATGAGGAAAGTATATCACAGAAGTGTATCTAAATTTTCAGAAGCAGAGGAAGCTGGCCTTCAGGGAAGAATTGGAATTCAGTATTGCTGGAATGTGTACTGTTACAGGAGAGTTGAATAAAAGGTGGTTAGAAAGGTGGGCATGGGATAGATTATGAGTAACCTAGTATGTTTTAAGGATTTTTAATGTTATCTTTATAGATATGTAGCGATAGTCTACTCATTTAAGTACACGACATTATTACTTTGGAAAGGTTCTGCTTCCAGCATGAAAGTGTGAGGAACTCTGAACTAACTCCCAAGTCAAACCTGTAAAAATCACTAAGAAAAAAAAAAAGAATCTTAGTCATTTAAAATCTCTGGAAATAGTTCTAAGGTTATATAGTAAATGAAGAAAAATTTATCCACGAAAATCTATTAAAACTCAGTGAAAACTGTACGCCTGTGGTATCTGAGCCAAGCACTATACTTTTCCTTCTTCCTGTCAGCTCAGAAAGCTCACTCTAGGTTGGTATAGCCAACAGGGCTCCTCAGTGGCTGTACTACTTTACATTCTTACCAACAGTGTAGGAAGGTTCTCTTTTCACCACAGCTTTACAAGCATTTATCATTCTGTATTTTAAAAATCTTAGCCATTCTGGCTGGGATTAAGTGGTATCTCATTGTGATTTTGGTTTGCATTTCTCTTATGATAAGAGATGTTGAGCATGTTTTCATAGTTTTTTATTTTTCTTGCCATTCACATGTCTTCCTTGGACAGTTGTCTGTTCAACTCATTGCCCATATTTCAACTGCTAAGCACATGCTCTTTTTAGCAAAAACTTAACAAAAACTTTGCCTACTCCAATGTCTCCAAGAGTTTCCTTTGTGTTTTCCATCAGTAGTTTCATAGTTTGAAGTTTTGTTTAGATCTTTGATTCATTTTGAGTTGATCATTATTAGTGGTGAAAGATAGGGTCCAGTTTCATTTTTCTGCAGGTGAATATCCAGTTTTTCTAGCACCATTTACTAAAGAGATTTTCTTTTTCCTACTTTATACTGAATGTCTGCACTGTGTGGCAGAAACTGAACAATTAGAAGGTATTATAGCAGGGAGGGCAACTGAATATACTATAAACAGTTTAAGAAGGGGTGGATAACGAGGGATTGGGGAAAATCAGAAACAAAAATGTAAAGCTTATGATAATGTACATGGCAATATCTATGACTTGACTAATATACACTGTATTGCTGGGAAAAACAATTTTTTATGCTGTAAAGACGTATAGTGATTAAATATAAATAGAACTATATTATATATATGTATATATGTGTGTGTGTATCTAGTATTATCTTTATGGAAGGAACAGGTCATCTAATTAGCATTTAAAAATGTATTCATTCATTTATTTTATTTTATTTTTAAAAATGTATTTATTTTACATTCACTCACTGCACATCCTCACAGCATTTCTAAATCTGCTTCCAGGTACTTGTTTGGAGGGCAACTCCTACATAAATACTGCAAGTACTCTCTTTTTCTGCTTAGCTTCCACTAATGAGTTGGAAGCCCCATCTTGGGTGTGGCACCACTGAGAATATTGGATCATGACCATTCCTGTACTGAGTTGTGGGGTAGAGTGTCCTCCTATGAGAGACAAGCTAAGGAGACCTGGAGCTGCTGTCCCTCACCTCTTCATTCAACAAACCCTCAGCTCTTAAAAGTGGGAGTGCCCCTTAGAGAGAAGGGCTCCGTTTTCCCCCTTTTCTCACTCTTGGACCAGGGTCTAGGGGGTGTAGGTTGTAGAATGGAACTCTCACCAAAGGAGGTAACTTATGTGGTAAGTTTAAACCTAGGAGTACTACAAACAACAACAAACAAACAAAATAAAATGAGAGCAATGGAAGTTGCAATGACAATCAGGTATTGATAGGTTAATAGGAGATACAGGCTAAGCAGTAGGCCAGCTAATTTTCCACAGAGAGGTGGGGAAAGAGAACTAGGAAGAGCCCTCCTTAGATCTGAACAAATCTCAAACACAGATTTGGGGAATTATCCCTTCAAAGGTCACACTTGTTTGAATTCTCTGTGAAGAAATGCATGTCCCTAAAAGATCAGTAGTAGAGCTAATGGCTGGATATGATTAAGAACAAAGACAAGAAGAGCCCCTCCAAAAATCAGTGTTGGACTGGGTCTGGACCCTGTAGGAGCTAATGACTCAGAACTCCCTGACTAAGTTATATAATGAAGAACACACCCACTAGGCTAACTGCATGATTTGGGTCCAGATCCATAGGCTCGAGAAACAGGCATGTGTGCATGTATGCCCAACATCCCAAAAGGAGGGCTAGAGGGTGGAGAAAGGATTGTGGTATGGCCATTTCTCACAGAGGGTGCCTTTTCCTCTCCTACACTCTGGCTCTCTGGCAAGCATATGCACCCTATAGCCAACGACAACAAATATCAGTCATCCGAGGGTGATTACGGGCATGGCCAAAGCTGCACCCTCAGAGATCATCATCAGAGTTTAACACTGAGGGCTGAGAAACAGACCTCACTAAACTAATCCAGCCAGTAATTAATAAAAATCAAGCAAATAACAATAACAAGCCCTGAGTAGGAGTCAATATCCAGAGTTGCTATAATTATCTAAAATGTCCAGTCACCAACAGAAACTATTATGAGACAGGCAAAGAAACAAGAAAGTTTGATCCATATACCATACAAGAAAGCAGCCAACAAAAACTGAGTGTATCTTCTTAATAAGACCTGTTTGGATCATATTACTTAAAAACATAGCCCTCCTGGGACCAGCAAATGGTATAATAGTTACATTGCTGGACTCCCATGTAGTCGACTATAGTTCAAGTCCCTAATTTGGGGGCTTAAAACTCACACTGGGCACATACGCATGCATGCCCAAGATCCCAAGAAGAGAATAGAGGAGAAGAGATTGCCGCGAGGGCATCCCCACTAGGGGGTGATTTCTCACTTTCTGTCTTGGTCTGTCTAGCGAGCCCATGTACCCTATAGCAAAAAATCTCTCTCAAAACAAAAACAAAAACTAAAACATAGCCCCCCCTTTGTCTCTTAAACTAGTCTTCACATTGTTTCATGAGTGTTTTATCAAATTATGAAAGTTAACCTGCAAAAATTGTGAAGGCTATAAATGATAGACTTATGTTTACAACAGAAAATCAAATAAAAACTTTTTTTTGCGTTGTCTGGAAATAGTTCACTCTAGTGACCTATTTTATTAATTACTGGCTAGATTATTTTAGTGAGGTCTGTTTCTCAAGCCTTCAGTGTTAATGTATTTGTCATCAAAAGAGTACTTTGCCGAAAAGAAAGATTTGACAAATGTGCAAAATATTTTCGATCTTTTGTGAAATTGTAGTTTATCACTTGTTTGTATCTGTAAGTTGTTGTTATAAATATTGCCTGTATTTTTGACATTAATAACTTTATGCTTTGAAGCTTATATCTGTGAATTTACAACTGAAATTTATTTTGTCAGTGTTTTCTGAAAGAACTGAATCAAGCTTCTGCTGTAGGAAAAAAGTCTAGTGTGGTCTTATTTAAAAGGGAAAGAAGTGGAGGGGAAACATTGTTTTCAAGTATTGAAATATAAGCAGAATTTAAATGGGTTTCATTTACAGAAAATAAAGATTTTCTGAGAAGTGGGCAATCGTAATGAATAACACATAAAAATCTCAGCAATCTTAACTTTAATTTCACTGTTGTTCTAATACCATTCAGCAAACAAGGCAACTTATTTAAGTATACTTGTATAGGTAGGTGTTAAAAAAAAAAAGAATACATATAGAGTCAGCTTTGTAACATAGTAGCTGTGCATGGAAGCAGGATCCCACACAGTCAACTGTGGTTCAAATCCTGGCACCCAGTAGCTTGAAAGGTACACTAGGCACGTGTGCATGCCTGCCCAAAACCCTGATGAGTGGATGTGCAGGAATGAAGACTGAGGTGTGACCATACCCTACACAGGGTTGCTGTCTCTCAATTTTTCTCTAGCAAGTGCATATTCTCTCTAACAACAACAACAACAAAAAAAATCATAGGGACCAGCAGATGGCTTAACGGTTATTTCACTGGACTCACATGTAGTTGACCACAGTTCACACTTTGAGGCCTGGACCCAGGGACTTAAAACTCATGTTGGGTGCATGTGCATGTGTGCCCCAAATCCCAGGAGGAGACTGGAGGAGAAGAGATTGTAGTGTGGTCATCCCTCCAGGGGTGATTTATCACTTTCTGTCTCTCTCTCTTTCTGATGAATACATGCACCATATAGCAAAAATCTTTCAAAAAAAAGAAAACATAGCTCTCCAATGGCAGCTTTCTTTTCTTTGTCCTTCTTATCACTGTTAGCATTATTTTCTTACTTATCATGTTTACCACGATTATCCATATTTTCTCAGATAAGGAGAGTGAAGCACAGAGTAATTTGCCCAAGGTCACATGGCAAATGTGACCTGCTCTACATTAGTACAGTAGTAGGGTAGTGAGAATTTGAATTTAAGCATGGCGATCTGCCTCCAGAGCTGTGACTGTGTCCATAAGAGTCAAGGAAGGTGGGAAGGGAAGTTCTAAGGAGAAAGGGACTGTCCTTTATGGGATGTATTGGAATAATATCTGGTTCGTATTCTAACGATAGTCTCTAGATCTGGGTTTGCTGAAAGCAGTTCTTTCTTTTTGTTTTCTGGTTAGTTGCTTTTATTTTTATTTTTATTTGTCAGAGGCTGCATGCACTAGCAGGAGAGAGACAAGAAAAGAGGAGAAAGAGAGAAGAAAAATAAAACTGAGAAAGCATTCCCCATAGGGCATGATCACACTGCAATCCTTTCTCCTTCATTTCTCCCTCCTTTCAGGATTTTGGGCATTCATGCACACATACTTGGAGTGGTTTTCAAGCACTGGGTCCAGAACTCAAACCATGGGGTTGGCATGTGGGATCCAGCTGCCTTTACCACCAGGCCAAGAGTTGGCCTTGGCATTTCTCATTTCATACAATATTTTCCCTTATCCCCTTCCTTAACTCAACAATGATCTCCTAAGTTTACTCTACTATTTTTCCTGTCTTCTCAATGCTTTGACTCACAGGACAGAGTTTTGCTTGGTTACATATACTCCACCAGATAGGTAGAAATGACTTATTCAAGGGAGATGCACTCATCTGTCTTTTTACGAAATTTTACTGCTCACTCTACACACTCCTCAATACCCACACACGAAAGATGCAACGAAGCACATCTTTATAAAAACTGATCGTGTTCATCTCAGCCTTTGGATAAGCATTTCTTCCTCCCCTCAAAGCTGGCTCAGAATCAATAATTGCTCCTCCCTTGTGACTGGTAACATTTTTATCCCTGGAGTCGTTCCAAAGATTCCGGCATACCTTACATCGTGTAGGAGGCTTCTGAAAGACACTGCTGGCTCCTGAGTTGATGAACTGGGGATGGACACAGACATTTATAAACACTTATCACTTAGGACAATCCCCTCAATTCTTTTTTTTTTTAATTTTATTTCAAGTTCTTTTATACACTCAATCACCATTACTTAGCTTGCACAGTGAATATTCCAACATGTGTGCATTTCTCCCCAGTCCAGTTGATAATACTATAAAGTTATCTTCAACAAAAAAATACCCCATTTATTTGTCCCTCAATTCTGAATTATAATCATATCTAAAGTATATCTAAAATATCACTGAATTCTCTGAAGAAAGTGGTTTTAATATTTAAAAAGGCAACATTTCAGTTCTGCCATGACCATTAGTCGAATCTCTAAGAAATGGGTTCATTATTTTTCTGTTACAGCAATGAAAACATATTTTCGTTTCTGGTCCATTTAAATGAGACATTTGCATAGACGATAAGACTGAGGGATCTCACAATAATTTCATGAGGAACAAGTAGCAGACAGTTCACTTGTTTCGATTGTTGGTTATCAAGCTCATGACCTGAATTATGAGAAAAGAATCTCTAGTGAGTACTGTGGTGGCTTTCACTTACAAAACCTCCTTCCAATATACAAAAAACTATTCCAGCAATAGAAAACAGTTTTGGAAACATTTTGTCTGAAGAGCTACAGACTGCTTTCCTCAAACATCACGTCTCAGGTGCTATCATCACCTACTGGCATCCATTGAAATGATTAGTTGTTTCTGGTATATCAAGAGCTGAATTTTCCCCCAATGGTCTCTCTTACACCTACCTTCAATCTGTCTGCAGCACTAACTGAAGATGACTCAAATATAAGAAGGAAATTGGGACTCTTCCAGTCCAGGAATATGAGATCTTGTTATAGAAGCAAAAAAAATCTTAGCTTGATATTTTTAACTCTGATACTTTATTGTCGTGCCAGTCTGTAAGAGTTACTTACATTTTCGAAGTCTTTGCTTTCCTCATTGTAAAATGGGCATTAATAATAACTATTTCAAGAGATTATTGTGGCAATTAGGTTAAAATGAACTTGACATGCTTTTGAGAGGTGCCTGACACACAATCGATATACAATTCAGTAATTATTATTTGTGGCTAAATTCTGCCATAAGCCCCTCTTTTTTTTTTTGGCTATAGGGTGCATGTGCTCGCCAGAGAGAGACAGAGAGACAGAAAGCGAGAAATCACCCCCTAGGGAGGATGGCTACACCGCGATCCCTTCTCCTTTATTCTCCTCTCGGGATCTTGGGCATGCATGCACATGCACCCGGCATGAGTTTTAAGCCACCGGGTCCGGGACGCGAACTGCGGTCGACTACGTGGGAGTCCAGCGACATAGCCATTATGCTAACTGGTCTCCCCCCCTTCTACATCTTGAACACAGGGCCTTGGTATATGCTTTAAAACAAGTCACTCGTATTCTTTCAGTTTAACCAATTTCTCTTTATAAAGGACATATAGTCCTTTCTAGAACATTCTCAGTGTTAGTATATGCCTTCTATTCCTTCCTGCTATAGGAAATCCTCTGAAGAAATAATGTCTCTAATCCAGAGAGTGATTATCAGACCCTTCTCTGAGTGAAGTGATTATACTTGCATGTCTCAGAAGCCTTTACATAATGCATAAGTTCTGGGTTACAGTTAAATCTCTCCTTAAAGACCCTTTTTTTTTTTTTTTTTTGTTGAGGAGGCAAAGAATAGGTAAGGAGTTAATGAAACCCTTCTCCTCAATGGAAACATGTGACTTTGAGTTAACTTTCTACTTCTGCTCAATTGGAAACTTGATACAGTTGGAATGTCAGTTGTATTACTAGGCCATGTTGTTCATGAGTAAAAGGAGCCCCAGTGTATAAATTACTTCTGCACTTGAAGTAACTGTGGACTAAAAATAACTTGGGGAAAGCATGGGTTTGGATTTTCCTGGGGGTAATAACATAATGGGAATGGGGACATGCCTCTGGGGGAAATGTGGGATTGGGGGGATGTTGGCAACTATGCCCTCGGAATTATTCTATCTTTACTCAAAACATCCACTTTAAAAATCTAAGTTTAATTTCCAAAAATTTCTCTTGAGTACCCAGGTTTCTTCTTTTCTCTTTCCTCATATTACCTCTCTTAAAAATTGCCTTTATGGTTCCCAACACAAAGCTCTGGCCTTTGGGTTTTCACTCTGCAAAAGTCTTATATTAATAGTTACCCAAATCATTCACTCTAATCATTCTTCTTAAAGTATACACCTTCAATATTTTTTTCCACGTAAACAGACCACCCTTTTAAGGAATGTATCAAAACCTGTGACAAACACAAAAAGACTTTTTAAAGTCTGTTTTCACACTAAAATTAATTTCTTTAAATTTGAGATTGGGTTGGTGGCCCATTGCTTAATCACCTAAGCAATAACATGATTCATCAGAGAAAAATAGAAATGAATTGAAATCATTAATACTATGGTTTACTCACAAAGAATGATGACACAAATAAGTAATATATCATAACACATATAGGGACAGGACCAACACTATTTGGCTCCTCCTCGTTTAGGAAATAAAAATGAATCCAGAGAGTCCCTAGTGCAATGTGGATCAGGCCAGTCATTATTTGTACAACCTGTGAGAGAGAGACATTATTACTCAAGTAAAATCTATTAGATAGATTATAATTTGGGCGACTGAGATCATAAAAATATCGAATTTACTTTGCTACTTGTGAAGTAGTGTTGAAAGAATTGTGTGTCATGGAGGAACAAAGGATGATAGAGAAATGGCAGCCATACTTGGGGGTTGAGTTATTCTCATTTATTTTAACAGGGAATATTCATTTTTGTCTCATAGTAGCTTTCAGAGATTATTAAAGCATAATTTTCTTGTTGGTTCTGATTGAGTAAAAGACTTAATTTCTCTACTTGGTTTGGGAGCGCATGCAAGTGAAAGGTGGAGCTGTTGACTGGAGATTTTTAAAGCTCTGTCTTGAATCCCAGTGGCCTCCTATGATTGGTTCTCTGAGGCCAACACAAGGTGCAGACTCAGTTCTTATTCTCTAGCACCAACCCCACATAGGAACTTTTGACCTTGCTTTACTTCCTTCTCTTATTCTCTCTTATCTGGGATTTAGGATTTGTTTTTCCTTTGCTACCCTTCTACCCAGTGCTGACTTTTGTAACCATGGTCTGGACCACAGCTCTAAGCCTTGTTTCAAAAACCATGAAGGGAGGATCTCTAGTGACCTGTAGTTTTCTATAACTCTCATATAAAGTGGGCCTCAGGAGCCATGCTCAGAACTGGGCCTTATTCTCCAATGGAGAAGAGTCATATACACGTATCAATGACAAGGATATCCACAACTATAGAAGGAACTGATTTGGAGATTAGAACCCAGCATTGCTTGCTCTGCAACTGTTTTATGCCCCAATGCCCATTCTTTCTCTCTTAGGTAGTTTTTAGTGGATTTAAGTCAGACTACCTTAAACCTAAAGTTCACAGGGGGTATGTAGGTTTGCGTCTTGATACTAAAATTATGAAAAATATTTTTAACCAGGGTTTTGCAGAGAAGCAGAACAAATAGGATACACATGTGCTTACATGTGTGCACATACACACACATACACACACACACACACAGAGTCTTGAAAAAATTAATGAAAAAATGGATTATGAAAAAACTATGCACGGATTTTGAATTGTTTTTCATCAAAATAAACTTGTACTTTAATTTCACTTTTTCTGAAAACTTTTTGAAGTCCTATAATATATATGTTTTGAAGACTATCAAGTAAAAAATATGCAGTGTGGGCTGGTAAGCTAGAGACCCAGGACAGTCCATTATTTGACAAAATCTGGAGGCAGTCTTCGAATTCCTTCCTCTTGCTTTGCATGGGGAGAGAAAAAAGAAAAGGGGTAGGAGGGGGAGGTCAGGCTTTTGTTCTATTTAGGCATTCAATTGATGGGATGAGGTCCATCCACATTATGGAGGTCAGTCAGCTTTACTCCAAGTCTAATGATTTAAATGTTAATCTCATCCACAAACATTCTCACAGGAATAATCAGAATAATGTTTGATTCAGCGGCTGGGCACTCCATGGCTCAGCCAAGGTGACACATAAAAATGAACAATCACAGAAAGTCAAGAAGTGGTTATTGGGTGGTGATACTCTTCTCACATGAAGATCATGTTGACTTGGAGTGACACAAAATCATGCATTAGGGTGACTTCTGCCTCAATCAGACAGATAGAGGATGGCAGTTCAGAATGGGGCCAGGTGGTGGCTCACTACCATGATCTTCAGTTTCAGTTGCTTTCTGAACCGTGACTCCACTGACTTAATTTGAGTGCAGTAAAGGACCCAGAAGTGTTAGCAGGAGGAATTAATATAAGCTCCCCAACCCTTCATTCTCTCTTAGGTGGTAGATCTCACTGGTAAATCAGTGAGTGGCTAGGGACAGGCATATACTAATACCTTCTCAAACACATTGCTACCACCACCCTGGCCAGATAGAGAGAAGGAGAAAGAAATCTAGACTTAAAACACCATGAGACTAGCAGATAGGGTAAAGCCACCTATCCCTACTATGTATGGGGCTTTGCTGCCTGTAGGTGTGCCTGCATTCTAGTAGTATACAGGTAGATCTCAATGAGCTGGATGTAATTATGGACTTAATATATTGGGAATTTTATTGCTGCAAGGTTCATTGTTGCTGGCTTAGATCCAAATGCGGTTCGAGGTTGCACAAATATTGGTGTAGAATACAAAAAAAGGTACGGCATTTGGAGGTTGAGAAGAAGTGAGAGGAAGATCACCGGTGTAGAATATGACTCTGTTGATCTGAATTTGGGGTGGGACTTGATGTCATAATGTCTCAGGGTCTACAATTCCCTATGGTTTTGGGCCCATCACCTAACCACTTCATTTATGATCTAAAAGGCTTGCTTGAAACTATTTACAAAGTTGGTCCAAAAAATGGACCTCTTCTGTATCAGCAACATCAGGGTGTATTTTCCAGAATCTCGGGTAGGTTTCGATGATGTTGAACTATTCAGAAATGATTTATGGATCCATAATCTGTGTCCTGTTAGTAGTTCTAGTCTGATTGTTATCACCTAATAATGCTTCTATAGATTTTTCTTCCTTTGGAGGGTTCATTACACATATGGTTAATGTCTATTTCCTTTTTTTTTTTTGGAGAGGTTTTTGCTATAGGGCTCGTGCGCTCGCCAGACAGGCAGAGACAGAGAGACAGGAAGTGAGAAATCACCCCCCAGGGGGGATGGCCACGCTGCAATCCCTTCTCCTCCATTCTCTTCTTGGGATCTTGGGCACGCACGCACACTCGCTCGGCGTGAGTTTTAAGCCACCTGGTCTGGGACGCGAACCACGGTCGACTACGTGGGAGTCCAGCGACATAGCCATTACGCTAACTGCTGGTCCCGATGTCTATTTCCTTTTATATTAGGATGAAGCAATGCTAGTAATTTATAAACCTAAGAGACACTTTGTCCTTACCGCTATTGGTTTGGCGTCCTCTCTTATGATAAATCTTCTTGCCATTTTTGACTAAGATACAGTGTAGAAATTATAGTGGGTGAGTGGACTCCTTTTCTATAGAGAAATACAGAGAAAAAGGTAAAACTACATTATTTTTTGAGAGATTTTTCTATAGGGCATATGCACTTGCTGGAGAGACAGAGAGAAAGAGACAGAAAGTGGGGATCTTGGGCACGCACGCACACTCGCTCGGCGTGAGTTTTAAGCCACCTGGTCTGGGACGCGAACCACGGTCGACTACGTGGGAGTCCAGCGACATAGCCATTACGCTAACTGCTGGTCCCGATGTCTATTTCCTTTTATATTAGGATGAAGCAATGCTAGTAATTTATAAACCTAAGAGACACTTTGTCCTTACCGCTATTGGTTTGGCGTCCTCTCTTATGATAAATCTTCTTGCCATTTTTGACTAAGATACAGTGTAGAAATTATAGTGGGTGAGTGGACTCCTTTTCTATAGAGAAATACAGAGAAAAAGGTAAAACTACATTATTTTTTGAGAGATTTTTCTATAGGGCATATGCACTTGCTGGAGAGACAGAGAGAAAGAGACAGAAAGTGAGACATCAACAACCCCCCCCTTCCCCCGCCACAGGGCGGATGGCTACACCACAATCTCTTCTCTTTCATTCTCCTTTGGCATCTTAGGCAAGCATGCAAATGCACCTGGTGTGAGTTTTAAGTTTCTGGCTCTGGGACTTGAGCCACAGTCTACTATGTGGGAGCTCAGACCATTATGCCATCTGCTGGTCCCATAACTAACTATTTTTGAGATAAGGGAGTAATATGTCAGCCTCTGATTTTCCACTACTTTGGAATTCCTTGAAAGAATCTTTCTGCATCAACTCATTGATACTGGTCTCAGCAAAATAGCTAATCACTTCCTGACAAAAACCAAGAGCTGCTTCTGAGATTTCATTCTTCCTTTACAGTCTTTAAATGAGACTGAGTAGATACCTTTTGATATGGCTGCTTTATTCCCATTATTTTCACCTTCTCTAGCAATTATCTGCTCTCATAAATCCATAAGACCTCCTAAGTTAGGACTCCTGACTGTTATGTTTGCTCTCCACTAGAATGTCTCCCAATATAGCTATAGCTGATTGAACAAGGGATGGACATCCCCCAATAATAGTTCATGTCTCAGGAAACTGCATTTAGCACTAAGACAATATCGTCCCATTCTGAGTTTATCTCTTTTCTGTAGGGAGTGGTGAGGGAGGCTTATCTACCTCCATATTCCACTACCATATTCCACTATATGAAAAAAACAATGGAGGGACACTATAAATAAGGAGATGGAGGTGGAAAACTCCCTAAAAATTCTGATGGCTGACACTGTGAGACTCAGCTGAATCTTTTTCTTTTTAAAGAATCATTTATTTATTTATTAATATTTTTTCTTTTTTATTTCATTTTCTTTTATACATTCAATCACATTATTTAGCTTACAAAGTGAATATTTCAATATGTGAACATTTTTCCCTACTCCAGTTGATTAAACTGTAAAATAGCTTCAACAGATAATATCACATTTCTTTGCCCCATTAATGCTTTGCCTCCATATTTTTCTTCTAAATGTCCTTCCTCAGGTCCTACTCTTCCACATACACTATATCTGGTATTTACACCCATTTACTGTGTTTGTATATCCTTCAGTCAATCAGTTTCAGTCATAGAGTGTGGACACTCGGTATATATTAAGTGAGAACATATAATGTCTCTCCTTTATAGCCTGGCTTGCTTCACTCAGCAGTAGATCTTCCATATTCTTCCACTTTCTGTCAAAATCCAGGTGTTTTTCTTTTTTCTTTTCTTTTCTTTCTTTCTTTCTTTTTTTTTTTTTTTTTTTTTTTCATCTAAGGGAGATTTCCCCTATAGGGTACCTGAGCTCACTAGAGACACAGAGAGAGAGAGAGCAAGAAATCACCACCCCCCCCCAAGAGGGGATGGCCATGCCACAATCCCTTCTCCCCCCCACACCCCCGCCAACATATATCATTTTTTTTTTTTTAATCTTAGACATTCTGACTGGGATTAGGTAGTATCTCATTGTTGTTTTGATCTGCATTTCCCTTACGATGAGGGATGTTGAGCATTTTTTCATATGTCTTTTGTCTATTCGTATGTCATCCTTAGAGAGTGTTTTTTTCAACTCATTCTCCCAACTTTTAATAGGGTTGATCATCTTTTTTTTTTTTTTTTTCCAAAGAGCTGCTTGAGTTCCTTGTGTATTCTGGTTATCAGTTCCTTATTTGATGCATAATTTACAAAAATATTTTCCCATTCTGAGGGCTGTCTATTCACACTAATTACTGTGTCTTTTGCCATGCAGAAATTTCTTAGTCTGATGTAATCCCACTTGTCTATTTTGGGGATTATTGACTGTGCTTTGGGGGTCTTATTTAAGAAGTCTTTCCTACCCCAATGTCTCCCAGAGTTTCCCCAGTGTTGTCTAGGGGCAGTTTTATAGTTTGAGGTCTTAGATTTAGATCTTTGATCCACTTCGACTTGATTTTTGTCAAAGGTGAGAGGTAAGGGTTCAGATTCATCTTTCTGCAGGTGGAAATCCAGTTTTGCCAGCACCATTTGCTGACGAGGTTTCCCTTTCCCCACTGGATTGACTGGAACCCCTTGTCAAAAATCACTTGACTGTATGTTTGGAAATTTATTTCTGGGGACTCTATTCTGTTCCATTGGTCCACGCATCTGTTTGTGTGCCAGTGCCATGCTGTTTTGATTACCACAGCTTTGTAGGATATTTTTGGGTCAGGGAGTGAGATGCTGCCCACTCTACTATTCTTGTGCAGAATTGTTTTGGCAATACAGGGTCTTTTATGATTCCAGACGAATTTTATGATTGTCTTTTCTAGGTCTGTGAAGAATGTGACTGGTACTTTGATTGGTATTGCATTAAATATGTAGATTAATTTGGGTAGAATTGCCATTTTGATTATATTAATTCTTCCAATCCAGGAACATGTGATGTCCTTCCACTTTTTTGTGTGTGTCAATTTCGATTTCTTTTTTTAGCTTCTCATGGTTTTCCTTGTGGAGGTCTTTAACTTCTTAGGTTAGACTTATTCCTATATATCTTATACTTTTTGTGGTATGGTAAATGGAATAACTTTTTTCAGTTCTATCTCAGTTGCCTGTTGTTCATATTAAAAATGCTGTAGATATCTGTATATTGATTTTGTATCCTGCAACTTTATTGTATTCATGTATTACTTCCAGAATTTTTTTCATGTAAATCATTGGGTCTTCTATGTATACTATCATGTCATCTGTGAATAGAGAGAGTTTCACCTATTGTTTTCCTATTTGAATGACTTTTATTCTATTCTCTTTTCTGATTGTGTTGGTGAGGACTCCCAGTACTGTACTGAAATGGAGTGGAGAAAGTGGGCATCCTTGTCTTGTACCAATTTTTAGTGGGAAAGCTTTCAGCTTTTCTCCATTCAGGATGATGTTTGCTATAGGTTTTTCATAGATAGATTTTATTGTTTTGAGAAATGACCCTTCTATGCCAATTTTTCTGAGAGTCTTGATCATGAAGGGATGTTGTATCTTATCAAATGCTTTTTCTGCATCAATCGATATGGCCATATGGTTTTTATCTTTCTTCCTGTTAATATGGTGTATTACATTTATGGTTTTGTGTATGTTAAACCAACCTTGCATTCCTGGAATAAAGCCTACCTGATCATGATGTATAATCTTTTTTATAAGTTGTTGGATATGATTTGCTAGTATCTTGTTGAGAATCTTTGCGTCTATAGTCATCAGAGATATTGGTCTATAGTTTTCCTTCCTGGTCCTGTCCTTATCTGTTTTAAGGATAAGGGTGATAGAGGCTTCACAGAATGAATTATGGAGAGATTCACCCTTTTGGATCTTTAGAAATAACTTGAGCAGAATGGGGTTTAACTCTTCTTTGAAAGTTTTATGGAATTTAGAAGTGAAACCATCAGGCCGAGGGCTTTTCTTTGTTGAGAGGTTATTTATTACTGATTCAATCTCCTGGCTTGTTATGGGCCTATTCAGACTTTCTATATCCTCCTGGTTCAATCTTGGTAGAGTATATGTTCCCAGAAATTTGTCTGTCTCATCCAGATTGCCTTGTTTCTTGGCATATAGTTGTTCATAGTATCCTCTAATGATGTTGTATTTCTCCTGCATCTGTTGTTATACTACCTGCTTCATTGCAGATTTGATTCACCTGGTTCCTTTCTCTCTTCTTAATAAGTCTCATTAGTGGTGTATAGATTTTATCTTTTCAAAGAAATTTTGTTTTGGTTACACTTGAGTAAGAGGATGTATATCAAGTATTTTCATAGTGTTCCAGAAAATGGCTGAGTACCAAATGGCTGAGTACTAAAAACATGGGACCAAAAGCAATCTTTTGCATCTTGAATTCATAAAATCACCAGAGGTTATGGCTGTTAGTTGTCTCCAAGGACTTATTAATGGTTCAGAGAAGTTGCTATGGGTCAATTAAATTATTGTCCTCAATTTCTTTTCCCCTTCCCTGTTAGAAGGTTCTATATCATCCCATGTCACCTTGTGACTTGTTGTGTCTCCATAGACTCTATGGAAGGAATATATTCTCTACCTCACTGATACCAAACTCAACCTTGTGATATTCTTTGGAAAAATGACACATGCCATATCTGAGCCAAAGCATAATGTGGTATTGTGAGTTTCTATAGATTCTCTTACTCATTTACCTCTGCTGTGAGATCACATCCCAGGTATCTGCTGTTGTGTAGTATAGATCCCAGATTGAAGACACATGGAGCAGGAGGCCCACAGCCTACCCACAGCATTAAAAAAAGATCCAGCAAATGAAAAATAAATGCTTGGTCTTGTTGCAACTAGAGATCATGGGTGAATTGCTTCTTCAATTTGAGCTTTATAAATTTGTGTTTTGAGCGCTCTGTCTTTATTTGTATAATTCTTTGGCCAGCATAGTCCAGAATCAGATTGCATATGATAATTAACTTGAAGTGGTCCAGTTAGAAGCCTCAGGTAGGTACCCTTCAATAATGGGTTAG